TGGCGAGATTGGGATTTGGTGCCCCCTGCTCCGCCCCCCCTCACACAGACTCATTCCACCACCACCTCCACCACTTTACCCCACTAGTACTACCTCATCACCACCCACTCAATCTACAGTAACAATATGGACAACACCAGACACTACAATGGTTTCGGAACAAAAATGTTTTTTTATTTGTATAAATGAAAATTACACAACACAGAATGAGTAAATTGTTATACTGCTTACCTTTTGGCAACATCCCTACAGGCTGTTTCACTGGACATAGCTAGAGTGCTTCATGTTACGTTTTGCTATGTTTTGTCGGGGCTGAACATGCCCCTGCATTCCAACATACAGTACACAGCAGGGGCGAAAATCCCATTTCATTTCGCAGTAAAATTTCAGAGAGTGATTCCTGAAAGGGACATGAAAAAAACTGCCTTATTTCACATATTTTCGAATGTCAGTAAAATAAATAATATCTATGAGATTAATGTGTCCTCCTCTGACTGTCACTGCCTGTTGCAGCAGGTAGAGAGAGGAGGGGCTGTTTACAACAATCTGCACAATTTTAAAATTCATAGCAAACTCAGTAAAATGCGCTTCAGACAAAGCAGCTGAAATGTAGTTTTTCATGCTACGTTTGTGCTTGTTGAACAAGTGGTTTGATAAATGACTTACTGGCATTTTACTCATTAAGGTTTTATTGCACTTACAGTTGTCATATTATAACATAAATTATAACATTAGTTATAACAGTCTAGTTATAAATTATTAGTGCTGTACATTGTGATTTATTAATTACTGCATAAAAGCAGTTACAACACAAGAGATACAACACAACTCTGAGGAACAACTGACAAGAGTCGAGATGCTATTGTAGCATCATTAGGCTCGTTTGAGATGAGCCAGTCCTTCTTAGAATTGATCACCAGTGATCGGCGCACAATGCATGCCGGTTAGATTTGTGTCTGACTTGATCATGACTTGCTCTGACGTCATGCACACTTGAGCAAAGATAACCTCATGAGATCGAGGCGGACACAGTTTTCTGAGCCAGGCGCCGCAGTTGCTCTCCACCAACTGCAAGACCCAGGGCATGATGGGAAACGCCTGGTTCTCACCTGATGTAACAGATGATTGGTTTAGATCTTGACTCTACTATATGACATTTTACAAAAACTTTTCTATTTTGTTGAACTTGAGTTATTTTAATTTTATTTGTCTGATTTTAAAGGTTCATTGTGTTAACAGAATGCATGTTGTGACAGTTAGTGATCAGGGACTAAATACATCAGTTTTACAGATCATAAACTGCATACAATATATTAACATCGCACTGATTTTATTATGGAAGTTTTTATCAACACAAAAACTTCTGGTAAGTGATGTGATTGTTAAAAACGTGTACAGACGTGAAGCCCTGACAGTCTGAATATCTGACAGATCACTAATATGATACAGCTGTTGTCCTTTTTCCTTTGTGTTTGACTATTAATGTTTTTAATTTATTGATGTGGTTTAGAGGGACAGGTGTAACACTGTTAAAAGTATAACTCCTCACAACTTTTGGTTGGCCCACCAGTAGAGGAGTCAGTCATTCCAGCTGAACCAATCAGCAGCGTTCTCCGTCACCTGGGGGCCGTCCCTTTCCTCCCGGTGAGGGAGAAATAGCTACCGGGCTCAGAGAGACACCAACAAGCCAGCAGTCAACTACACCCTACACCTCGCTACTCACACATTCGGTAAATAAGAGCAGAATGACGGAGACAGGAGGACTGGAGCTGGAAGACGGAACTCTTTAATGCGGGAGCTGGGAGTCGGTGACCGTAGGAGGGAGCAGGACAAACTCCCATGTCAAGTTCCAACTGAAACGTGTCGGTGAGTGAGAGCCATTCATGCTAATGCTAATGCTAGCGGGCTGCTGCTAACGCCGCTAGTATTGCTAACATGGCTAACGCCGCTAGTTCCACTGCTAATTAGCAATGCCTGCCATCATTTAACAGTTTAACTGCCCTGCTTGGATGATGTGATGCTGCGCTGCTACTGGAGACTGATGCTGGATTGGACTGGACACTGGTGAGAAATTGAGTGTTGATGGATGTGTTAATTCATTCAACCAGGCGGAATTAAACACAGAGATTGATGAATGATTGTACCTGTTCATTAAACAGGTCAGGCTTGATGATGATGATGATGAAGATGTGGATGAAGAACATGGAGATCAACTGAAATGGATGGCGAGCTACCCAGAAATGCGAAGGAGAAATAGCAGCTAAGACACACACACAGGCCGCAAGCCTGGCTGACAACCAGGTGGTGTGGTAGAACTTTCCTTCACCATTTAGCCTGTTACCCATTTACTTAAGTGACTAGTAGCAATTATTTCCTGGAGTTGTGCAATATTATTATACTTGAATCATGGTTATTAAGGTATTTATTATTCACCGAGTATGTGTGTGAAACTGGTATTGGGAAATGTATTTTGCAATGAGTATTTAACTGAATGAGTGTGTTCTGACTGAGTTGATTCACCTCAGTTAAATTTAAAGCTGCCTTGAGAACTGTGAACATTCCTGATAGTATACTATATACTATATTGCATTGAACTTTTGTAAATATTTTCCCTCTAAAAGGCCTTTATTTTGGTTAATCACTTTCTTTAATTATCATTAATTCACTTTAAAGTTCTGTTGTATATATCTTGTCAATACACATTTCATCTTTGCAATTCTGTCGTGTGTGCCTCGTCAATTCTCCTCAGCTCCCAGAGTCGAACCTCCTGTTACCATTAGTCCATCAACAGGTTAATTCTGGTATCCTCCAATTCTGATAGTCGGTTGGGTATCTTAAGTGCTACACAGGTCTGCTCTGCTCATTTATATATTGCAGCAAGTTGATATGATGCTGATTTACATAAGAATTCATGTCACATTGAGGTTGAACCATGAATAGAAATCACAAATCACATGTAGAACAGTTAAATGTCATAATTAAAACAACTGGAGAGACTCTATACAAACTGATATATGAGTCTGAGAACATTTTAAGAAATGTGAATTAGATCTAACGAGATGTGAGTGTTTCTGTGACTTTCTGTAAAGTTGGTCCACACTCCAACATAGCTGACGGCGATAATGCACCTCGAACGCTAACTGCTTCCCGCAATTAAGCAAAAAGAAGAAGAAGACTGAAGGCTGCTGGAAACTGTCCAACTTGACCACAGCTTTTTGTCTCTGCCCCCTGCTGCTGCCACCTGATCTCGTCTGCTTCCCAGGGAGGCGCAGTTCATCCTGAACAAGCCTATTATCTTGCTTTATTGCTGCTTAGCCAGCGACTGCTGCTACGAATAAAATGTCTACACACAAAACAGCATTTTAATGTTAACACTGGACAACATACGTCTATATTAGGCTTTCTTTTCCTCCTCATCTTTCCTGTTTCTTCCTTGCATAAGTGAAGTTTTGGAGCTTTTTCCATTATGAAATAAAATGTGATAATACATATCTGCCTCTTGACAGTCTAGCAATCTCTCTGACACCAAAACACCAACACCAACACCAACTTTCAGTTTGCACAGTAGAAACACAGGTAAGGGCAGATGAAAAAAATGTTTATTTCCTTCGTTGTTCATTTGTTATTGCAATGAAGAAAATTAAAATGTATTTATTTTTTCCTTTTAGGGCAATGAGTGCCCAACAGACAGTGGCACCGTATGCTACTGCCTATGAGGCAGGTCTAAGACCTGCTGTGAACTCCGTTGTGTTTCTAAGAGTATTTCAGTCGTATGTATGAGTGTTTCAACTGTGTATTTAAAACGCATTTCAGTTGTTTGTGTGAGAAGATTTCAGTAGTGTATATGAAAGTGTTTCAGTAGTGTGTGTGAGAGCATTTCAGTAGTGTATATGAAAGTGTTTCAGTTGTGTGAAAGAGCATNATGCTAATGCTAGCGGGCTGCTGCTAACGCCGCTAGTATTGCTAACATGGCTAACGCCGCTAGTTCCACTGCTAATTAGCAATGCCTGCCATCATTTAACAGTTTAACTGCCCTGCTTGGATGATGTGATGCTGCGCTGCTACTGGAGACTGATGCTGGATTGGACTGGACACTGGTGAGAAATTGAGTGTTGATGGATGTGTTAATTCATTCAACCAGGCGGAATTAAACACAGAGATTGATGAATGATTGTACCTGTTCATTAAACAGGTCAGGCTTGATGATGATGATGATGAAGATGTGGATGAAGAACATGGAGATCAACTGAAATGGATGGCGAGCTACCCAGAAATGCGAAGGAGAAATAGCAGCTAAGACACACACACAGGCCGCAAGCCTGGCTGACAACCAGGTGGTGTGGTAGAACTTTCCTTCACCATTTAGCCTGTTACCCATTTACTTAAGTGACTAGTAGCAATTATTTCCTGGAGTTGTGCAATATTATTATACTTGAATCATGGTTATTAAGGTATTTATTATTCACCGAGTATGTGTGTGAAACTGGTATTGGGAAATGTATTTTGCAATGAGTATTTAACTGAATGAGTGTGTTCTGACTGAGTTGATTCACCTCAGTTAAATTTAAAGCTGCCTTGAGAACTGTGAACATTCCTGATAGTATACTATATACTATATTGCATTGAACTTTTGTAAATATTTTCCCTCTAAAAGGCCTTTATTTTGGTTAATCACTTTCTTTAATTATCATTAATTCACTTTAAAGTTCTGTTGTATATATCTTGTCAATACACATTTCATCTTTGCAATTCTGTCGTGTGTGCCTCGTCAATTCTCCTCAGCTCCCAGAGTCGAACCTCCTGTTACCATTAGTCCATCAACAGGTTAATTCTGGTATCCTCCAATTCTGATAGTCGGTTGGGTATCTTAAGTGCTACACAGGTCTGCTCTGCTCATTTATATATTGCAGCAAGTTGATATGATGCTGATTTACATAAGAATTCATGTCACATTGAGGTTGAACCATGAATAGAAATCACAAATCACATGTAGAACAGTTAAATGTCATAATTAAAACAACTGGAGAGACTCTATACAAACTGATATATGAGTCTGAGAACATTTTAAGAAATGTGAATTAGATCTAACGAGATGTGAGTGTTTCTGTGACTTTCTGTAAAGTTGGTCCACACTCCAACATAGCTGACGGCGATAATGCACCTCGAACGCTAACTGCTTCCCGCAATTAAGCAAAAAGAAGATGAAGACTGAAGGCTGCTGGAAACTGTCCAACTTGACCACAGCTTTTTGTCTCTGCCCCCTGCTGCTGCCACCTGATCTCGTCTGCTTCCCAGGGAGGCGCAGTTCATCCTGAACAAGCCTATTATCTTGCTTTATTGCTGCTTTGCCAGCTACTGCTGCTACGAATAAAATGTCTACACACAAAACAGCATTTTAATGTTAACACTGGACAACATACGTCTATATTAGGCTTTCTTTTCCTCCTCATCTTTCCTGTTTCTTCCTTGCATAAGTGAAGTTTTGGAGCTTTTTCCATTATGAAATAAAATGTGATAATACATATCTGCCTCTTGACAGTCTAGCAATCTCTCTGACACCAAAACACCAACACCAACACCAACTTTCAGTTTGCACAGTAGAAACACAGGTAAGGGCAGATGAAAAAAATGTTTATTTCCTTCGTTGTTCATTTGTTATTGCAATGAAGAAAATTAAAATGTATTTATTTTTTCCTTTTAGGGCAATGAGTGCCCAACAGACAGTGGCACCGTATGCTACTGCCTATGAGGCAGGTCTAAGACCTGCTGTGAACTCCGTTGTGTTTCTAAGAGTATTTCAGTCGTATGTATGAGTGTTTCAACTGTGTATTTAAAACGCATTTCAGTTGTTTGTGTGAGAAGATTTCAGTAGTGTATATGAAAGTGTTTCAGTAGTGTGTGTGAGAGCATTTCAGTAGTGTATATGAAAGTGTTTCAGTTGTGTGAAAGAGCATTTCATTAGTGTATATGACAGCGTTTTAGTAGTGTAGTGTATATGAGAGCGTTTCAGTAGTGTGTGTGAGAGCATTTCAGTAGTGTATATGAGAGCGTTTCAGTAGTGTGTGTGATAGAGCATTTCAGTAGTGTATATGAGAGCGTTTCAGTAGTGTGTGTGTGAGAGCATTTCATTAGTGTATATGACAGCGTTTCAGTAGTGTGTGTGAGAGCATTTCAGTAGTGTATATGACAGTGTTTCAGTAGTGTGTGTGAGAGCATTTCAGTAGTGTATATGAGAGTGTTTCAGTAGTGTGCGTGAGAGCATTTTACTTGAGATTTTACTGTGAGAGGTAATTCTGAATAATGTCCCTGGCGGCCCCTCATATTTAGACATGATGATTGCAAAAATATAAAGCTCATGATGTACACATTCAACAGTCTTCACCTGGCTGATCTACACAATTACATTTTTTAATGTAACATTTTCCTGACTTTAATACCATTTGGTGAATGTGCTTTTAATATGTTAAAGTCTTATTTTACAAATATTATTTTATCATGGTCTGAAAATATAAAATGAAGCGAATAAATAAAATCAAAAGTCATAAGATAAATGCATGGTTTTGAGTTTTGTTCCAACACTTTTCAAAAATCATTGCTTTTTCAATAATATTTCTGTATGTTCAATTATCCAAGATGGAATAAAACAACACAAACAATTAAAGGTGTGCATTTGCAAGGTTATACAGTACTGTAATAGGGGTAGATCAAAATTCATAAGATATATGGTGCATATAATGATAACTTAACAAGAGTAAAAAAGTGACATGGTCACTTAATGAAGGTATATTGTACATGCAGCCCACTGAGAAGAAGTAAACAAGAGTTAAATTAAGACCACTGGGTGAGAGCATTTCCTGTGTGCTGAACAGTAAGGTGACGTACAGTAGAAGGAGGGAAGCTTTTCTCCACCTATGTATAGTATAAACACACACAGTATGATCACATGCAGACAGTTGAGGGATGGAGATCTCAGCTCTCTTTATTGGCCTGATGCTGTCTCTGGGTCTGTGTGAGCTGAATTTAGCTTTTGCTTTGAATGGTTTTGGGTATCGTATGAAACAAAGTGCTAGGTTTAAAGAGGATAGGACTGTTGCTGGGTCCAGCTCTGAGGCTTCATCTTTAAAATGTACACTTCAGGGTACTACTCGTCTACCTGCCTTCTCAATGGATGGTGACTATGTTATTGGCGGTGTTTTGTCCATACACCACTACATGCACACAGTGAAGCACAACTACACCACCATGCCTGAGCCACTAAGGTGCACAGGGAGGTGAGTAAGAGAATGTCACACTGTGTGGAGATGAAACTGTGTTGATTTGTATAATGTGCTCACAATCATGTTGCAAAGTTTTTGGTGTCACCAAAAATTTTTAAACAAAGTTTCTTTGTTCCATTAAGTGCCAAATGAAGTGTGGCCATATAAACTGCAGGTATTATAAAGGCATGACTGTATCAAAAAGATGTTTTGTATTTCTGAGCTCAAAACATACTGAAGGATAAAAACAAATTAAGACAACTGATTTAGTTGACTATTTTGCTTTGATTATTTGCTTTGAGATTCTTGTGAATTCTGGACTGATATTTAATCCTGTGTTTTGAATTTTGGTGTTTAGGCAACTCTTTGATATATATGAAGTTCACAAATGCAGTGCAGAAATCTGTTATTATTTATAACTGTGACATTCACTTTTTCTTTATTATGCATTTCTGTTAAAATTGTGAATTTTCCTCATGTCCTGTAAGTCTGAACAATGACACTAGTGTCTGTGTGCAGCATTGACTCCCGTGAGCTGCGCTTCTCACGTGCGATGATCTTTGCCATTGAAGAGATTAACAACAGCACGGAGCTGCTTCCTGGCATCAAGCTCGGTTATCAGATCTATGACTCATGTGCCTCAGTGCCTGTGGCTGTGCATGTGGCATTCCAGCTTTCAAGTGGTGTTGACCCGGTGTTTTACACTGGCAACAACTGCTCACAGTCTGGTATGGTGATGGCTGTTGTTGGTGAGTCTGGGTCCACGCCATCCATCAGCATGTCACGCATCATTGGGTCCTTTAACATTCCTCAAGTAAATATTTTGTATTTCTGGCAAAGTTTTTGTATGGACATGTGCTGATGTTTTGTCTGTCCTGTTAAATAATTACATTGTTTTCATTTAGGTGAGCCACTTTGCCACTTGTGCATGCCTGTCAGATAAGCAGCAGTACCCGACTTTCTTCTGAACAATCCCTAGTGACCAGTTTCATGCTGACGCTCTGGCCAAGTTGGTAAAACACTTTGGCTGGACATGGATAGGTGCTGTCAGGTCAGATTCAGACTATGGCAATAATGGCATGGCGTCTTTCCTGGCCGCAGCACACAAAGAGGGAATCTGTGTGGAATACTCCGAAGCTTTCTATCGGACCCACCCACGCAGCAGAATCCAGAGAGTGGCTGATGTTATCCGCAGGTTTCTACATCACTAACTGTGCTTTTGTTCCTGTTGGTGACACTGGCCTACTACACACAACACCACAAAAAATGTTCAAGAAAATATAAGATGGAAGATTATTTTATTGTGTCAGTGGCAAATAAGAGATTCATTTTCATCATGTTAATTTATTTCATATTAGTCACTGACATTGTTATAAAAATAGAATTAGTGAGACCAATACTGTGCATTCAGGACACAAAAAAGTAGAGTATGTCATGTTTGTTGGTACTAACTATGTTGATACATATTTAAAATGGAAATTTTATATAATATATTGATATAATACCATATATATTAATGTCTCTCCAGGTCGACAGCTATGGTTGTTTTAGCATTTACGTCCTCTGGAGACCTGAGGATTCTGCTGGAGGAGCTGTCACTCAAGCCTTCTCCACCTCGCCAGTGGATAGGCAGTGAGTCTTGGGTAACAGACCCTGACATGCTGAGGTTCAGCTTCTGTGCTGGAGCCATCGGCGTTGGCATTGAGAAATCTGTCATCCCAGGTCTGAGAGACTTCCTGCTGGATCTCTCTCCCTCTAAAGTGGCTGCCTCTCCGGTGCTTACTGAATTCTGGGAGGATGCATTCAACTGCAGGCTGAGAAAAAGTGAGAAAGTTGTGCTAATTTTTAACATAGGAAACATTCACAGTTGGCTCCTTGTGTCAATGCTGTGTTGGCTTTTGATTATCTGTCTGAAGTGGAGCTTCCTGTCTTAAAATATGCATAACTGCTTGTTGGCAAATCCTCAGATTAAGAGGCAGATCTAGTGAACTAAGACATTTGAAGGATTTTAGGTGCATTTCTTTGAATAATCTCACTTCATGAGATGAATTTTGTTGATTGTATTAACTTGGCTGCAGTAGTATATGAAGTCTCCAGGCCTCCTAGTTAAGAAATACATTAGAAATTGTACTTACTAACTATATTTTTAATTGCGTAGGTAGTAATGCTTTTTGTACTGACAGGGATTTCAGATTATTTATTCATTTTAAACACATAAACATAGATCATGTCAGCATGCAATGGAAAGGAGATGTTTTTGCTCTTTATAAAGTAAGTAATCATCTGAAGACTGATTCAAGATAACATGACCTGGTAAACATAAATGTAAAATTAAAAAAGGGACAATTACAAACAGAAATAATCAGTTTATCTGTGAAACAGTACAAGGTAATGTGATGAAAAATACATTTTTACTTATAACTACAACCAATACAGATTTATTAGTTTCTTGTATGGCGTGTTTGGCAGGTTAAATCAAACAAAAAAAGAATA